CACGCGAGTCGGCCGATGGCGGGCGTAGCGGAGCGGCTGGCGCGGGAGCGCGCGGCGGCGGCCGGGCTGGGCTCCCACGAGCGTGCGGTGCAGCACATGGGCCAGGACTTTGCGGCGCTGCGCGATGCGTGCCTGGCGGACGGCACGCTCTTCCAGGACACGGCCTTCCCCGCCGTGCCCGCCGCACTGGGCTTCGCCGAGCTGGGGCCGCGCTCCAGCAAGACGCGCGGCGTGGAGTGGAAGCGACCGCCGGTAGGTGCGGGTCGGGCGGGGGCGGGGTGCCGGGTGCCGGCCCCTCCTACACGAGCAGAGGGAACCGCACGACCCCGGGGCTCGGGGAAACTTTTGGGGTTCCAGCCCGGCAGGCAGGCGGAGGGGTAGGGGCGGCGCCCTGGGCCTGGTCCTTTCGCTCAGTTTGGCGGTGGGCTCAGCTCTGCGGGCTGGCGGGGGCCGAGCCTGGGCCCCTCCTAACCAAAGAGCTGGTTAGTTATTGTGTATCCGCAGAGGCCAGCAAGGGCCTGAGGGCCGCACTCGGTCCCTCGCCAGGCCTGGGGACAGCGCTGTTCCCCAGTCTGCCGCCCTTCCTCTCCCAGGACCCCTGCCTGGCTCCCCCCAGCTGCCTCGGAGCCCACCAGGAGGTCCAGCCTTCTGCACTCCTGGGCCCCCTGCACCCTAAATCAGTCCTCAGGTAGCAAGAACTGTAGGGCACACCCTAGATCAGAACCCTAGACCAGAACACGACGCTGAGGTCCTCCTTGAGTTTTGTTTTGAGTTCTGAGATGAGGTCTCACTACATCGCCACCCTGGCCTCAGACTCCATCCTCTGCCTCCCAGTAGCTGCTACTGCAGGTGTGCGCTGCCCTGTGGCCTGGGCTCATTCTTGCTGACAGACTGGTGACATGGAGAAGTCACTCGTAATCGCCCTGTCTTCACCTGGAAGCAGAGGTGGTTCCCGCTGTCCCCTCCTCCAGGCCTGGCTGCTCCCCTCCCCCACCGTGCTCAGGGCCTGGTCCTTCCTGCCCCGCCTCACCCTTCAGCACGCATTCCAGGTGTCCGCAGCATTCTTTGGGACTTGGTCACCGGTCCCCACCCTCAGAGGCCTTTGCCCCCTTCCTCATCCCTGTCTGTCTCTGCCCTGCTCTCTGATACAGACCTCCCACAAGGGACAAGCGCAGCTCTGATGTTCACCTGTTCGCGTGCACCGTAGGCCCCGGGTGCCCAGCATGGCCTTTCGCTGCGTGCACACCTCTGTTCCTCAGCCGCTACCCAGTGCCTGCTGCTGCCAGGTGCTGTCCTAACTGCTTTGCGCACATCCGGGTGCCCACAGGACAGTCACTAGAATGACTGAATGTGGTCTCGTAATGCACCTCAAATGAGTCCCAGTTGCAAAATTGATACACAGGGAACATGTGGGCTTATGTTGGTGCAGCGCTGTACCAGCGCAGGTCCCTCCCCTGCTCACACATCGGCCATGGGCATCTCCTGAACACCCTCTGTGTGCCTGGCACAGCGCTCTGTGTCCCTCAATAGGCTCAGGAGGTGGAGAGACCCATATACTCCCAGGCATGGAGATGGTGCTGGAGCCACTTTGGGGCACCATTTAGGGCCCAAGGGAGAGGCAGGGTCACTTCCCCTCCCAGCTGCAGAAGTTGAAGCCTGGGAGGTGAGACTGCCGGGAGCAAGACAGGTGTGCAGGGCGGGGTGGGCACAGTTAGGGCCACACCTGCCTCTGCCCTTCTGGCCTCCGGGCCTGAGTGACACTGCTAGGGTCAGGAATAAGCAGACACCCCACTACACTGGGATCTCAAGTCACCATTAGTCATATCAGCAAGTGACAGGCACAGGATGCACTCAGGCGGAAGGTGGGGGCAGAATGAGGGAGCAGGAAAGGAAGGGTGTAGTCCACTGGCTCCAGAGGGGTGTCAGAGAGGCAGGGACAGAGTGGGGGGGGAAGAGGGGCACAGGCAGAGGGACAGAGAGACAGAGGGGCAGAGACAAGGGCAGAGGAGCAGAGATAGGGGCAGAGGGATGGAGAGGGGCAGAGGCAGAGACAGAGGGGCAGAGGGGCAGAGAAACAGGCAGAGAAGGACCCTTGGGGAGCTGTTTCTCTCAGCAGAGCCCTTGCATTATTGGCTGTTGAGTCACCTGAGAAGGTGGAGGGCCTGAGGCAGGGCCTCCACCCCTGGAGGAAGTGAGAGCAGCGCAGGGCTGGGGAGTGGTTAGCCCTGCCACATGGAGACCCGAAAGGGCTTCCCCAGTTCTGGCAAGGTGACTCAGGCTGGAAAGAGACAAAGCGGAAGTGGCCACAGCCCGGGAGGTCCCAGCCAGTGCTGGGCGTGGGGAGGAAGCAGTGGCAGGACCTGAGCCTAACATCAGGGAGCAGAGGGGTGCGCTGGCCCATCCCCCAGAGGTGTAGAGGGGTGTAGCTAACTCCCACCTCAGGTTCCTCACAGCAATCCTCTGTGGCAGGACCTTTGTCATCACCATTTGCAGGTTACAGAGGGGGAGACTGAGGCTGCGAAAGCCCGGGTCACCCTGTCAAATCCCTTAAAGGGGGCTGGGCCAGGATTCCCCCACCCCCAGATTATTTCCTGCTCCTCCTCCCACCTTCACATCTCCTTCCCTGAGCATCACTGAGCTCTAGGGCCTGAACTTTGACCTCTCTCGAGAGGGTGCCAGTGACATGAGGAAGTTTCTGGAACTCAATGGAAAAGTCCTCCTGGGTGAGCGCCTGCATCTCAGTGGCCAGTAGGTTCAGTGCTACAGAGGCCCCGGTGCCAAGCCCGTCCAGCCCTGTCAGCGTTTGGCTGGCAGCCTGGCAGAGCTGACTTTGTCTGCCTCCGTGGTGGAGAGCTTTCGCATCATCTCTGTCCCCACGTGGACGGAACGTGCCTTGAAAGTGGCCTTCCAGAAGCATGTCCACGTCTGAGGCACATACCAGTGCTAAGTCCAGCAGAGAGGGGCCTGCTAAAGGTTCCCCAGAGAGTGTGGGGCACTGCAAAACCAGGTGGTCCCTGCCACGAGAAGCCCAGATTTGGGCTTGACTTCCTTTGTGGTTTGGGGTGGAGCAGGAAGCTCAGCTGGGTGTGGTATACTCACTACCCTCTACTCAGAAGGTTGAGGCAGGAAGGCTACTTACATGTGGGAGCTCAAAACCAGCCAGGGTAGCACAGTGAAACCCTGTTTCAAAAACTAGAATAAAAGGCCAGGAGTGGTGGTTCACACCTACAGCGCCAGCCATCCCAGCACGCTGGAGGATGGCAGTCGGAGGTTGGCTGAGCTACGTAGTAAGAGCCTATCTCAAACGAACAACACATAAGTGAGTGTAAACTAAAATAGAAGAGAGTGAGAACACACGCTTGACAAGGGCCCCCAGCGCACAGCCCGTGCCTGTCCCTGAGGCTTCCGAGGTCCTGGTGCACTCAGTGAGGCGCAGACAGGAGAGGGAGGCTTTGCCCTGAGACCTGGAATCAAATCCAGCATGAAGCTCTGTGGCTGTGGCACCTCATGAACTGTTCCCTGCCTTAAGACAGGGCTGACACCCGTCTGGGCTCCCAGGAGGGCTACATGGGACACAGCTCTGCACCTGGCACGCAGGTCACAGTGGGCACAGAGTACATGCATGTTCTCGAGGCCGTGTGCAGCCCCTGACCCTAGGAAGCCTGTGTTCGGCAGACAGAGCAGGACAGTCCCCAGCCAGACCTGAGGGGAGGAGGACACTGGCCACGCAGGGGCCTTAGGAGGAAGGGGTGGAGTGGTGAGGTGTGCGATGGATGGGGCTCCCTACCTGCAACCCCTGGCATGGCAGAGCCAGGCTCGCCTACGCAGAGCCCTAGCCCGGGCCAGAGCTGGACTGTGCATGCCATCCCGGAAGCACACGCTGACCCCGCCTCCATGCACACGGATGCCCAGCCTGCCATGCAGAGGTGGAAGGCCCCAAGCTCAGGCTCCTGCTCAGACCACAGCCCTTCCTGGGGCAGGGAGGGGATGCGGCCCTGGCCATGGCTGACCACACTGCGGGTCTCTCCCCAGGAGATCTGTGCGGATCCCCAGTTTATTGTCGGAGGAGCCACGCGGACAGACATCTGCCAGGGAGCCCTGGGTGAGTGGGGTGCGACCAGCTGTGGGGTTAGCCAGCAGGTAGGGTGATGGGTGAGGAGGGGCTGAGGCTCTGCCCATGCTGGGTGTAGGCACATGCTGGGGCCATGGAGACCTGGGGCGGGGCGGGCTGTGACATGGCATCCCCCTCGGTCCCTGTGACTGCAGGGCCAGGACTACCGCACAGCAGCCCGGCAGCTCTCAGATCCTGTTGCCTTCTGTTATGTGGAGGGAACTCGAAGGGCTGAGCACCTGGTGCGCGAGGTGTCCCCAAGTTACTTTGGTTGAATGCTCTCAGGGCCAGAAGTGCAGGGTCTCCAGCGGTTCTTCCCAGAGCCTCTGGAGGCCTGGGCCGGTCCCTGAAGCTCTGAGAATCCACACTCAGTGTTTCTTATCCATAATAAATGAGGCCCTGTGGTTAAGGGAGGAGATGTTTTGCTCCTGTAACCAGAAACCTGTCTCCCGCCTTGGCCTGAGCTAGCTTCCCGGAGCAAGCCCACCAGCCCCAGGACTGACGGGCCTCCTCAGCTGACACAGCTCGAGCCCTTTCATTCCATTTTCATAGAAGAGGACACTGCGGTCGCCCCACTGCTGGAGGGGGGCTGGGTGCACCATGCGTTTGCTGTGAACCAGGCCTGCATGTGCAGCACCTTGTAGCCTCCCATACCGGGCCTGGGACCACATGAGCCCCAGAGTGATGTCAGGGCCGGGGGATGGCCAGGACAGCACAGCCTTGGAGGGAGACCAAGACACCCCCAAGATGACCTGAGACTGCAGATTCCTGAGATGCCAGAGTCATTCTTACCTGAAGAAAAGTCTCCGGTCTCCCACCACCCCCACAGGAAGTAGAGAACCGAGTCCCTGGATGGGGAAGGTGTGTGCTCCACGAGCGGCAGTTGTTTGGAGACAGTGACTAGAAGTTCTGGGGGTGCGGGAGAGTCAGTAACCAACACAGCAGCTGCTTCCAGGCCAAATACCTGCTTCAGAATCCAGCAACGTCAAATGGGCTGGTCCCAACAGCGACAGTAAAGTTTGCATTCCTGGGAGAACTCACCAAAGTGAATGAAAACACAGTGCGACGTGAACCTCTGAGCTTCCCCGTCCCTGGGCTTCATTTCTATGGCTGTAGAGGCATCTGGGCTCTGGTTCTCTTGGCCTTCCTTTGGGAAGCTCGGGGTTACAGTGCAGGCAGCGAGGCAGCGTGTTTGCCTAGCTCCTGCCCTGACCCTGGGTCTGGGCGTTACCAGGCCTCCCAGGCTCCAAAACGACAGGACAGGCCCAGCACTGGGGCTCAGCAGCATCCTCTGTTGGAGCCGCGGCCGAGAGGTTGCCTGACCTGCCTCTCCTCTAAGCACACTGAGCAGGAGGGCGGGACTCACAGCGCCCCTCTGGAGCCGCGCTGCGCCTGTCCTGCCCAGAGGCCCATGCGCTGTGCACAGTCGTCCGGCCTCTCGCAGGCAGCATGCTCACCTGGGTGGCAGTACCCGCTCCCGGGTGCCCCTGGGCATCCCCTGTGTGGTCACCTGGGTTGGAAGCAGCCACTTTCCTGCGATGCAAAGTCAAGAGCAGAAGTCTGGAGTGGGAAGGCGCAGTGCGGGCCGCGCAGTGCGGGCTGTGGCAGCCCGAGGAACACACCCGGCCGGCTAAAGCCATGTCCACTCCCAACCGTGCCGCCCCGCCGGCCACACTGCTGTGCAAGGCCGTCCGCAGCAACCCTGGGGTGGCCTGTGAGCCTGGGGCCGCAGCCGTAGACTCCTGCCCTCCTCACACGCTGTACGTGCTTCCTGGCCGTGGTAGCCCGCAGGCCCTCAGCCCTGCCCGGAGCCTCAGCCTGTTGTCCCAGGAGCCAGACCCTGTGCGCAGAGCCACCCCTCCACACTGACCACAAAGCAGGGCTTCGCTGTGCTCAGAGAGGACTCAGCACGGGGCGTGGGGGAGGGACCACGCCTCACAAGTGACCACCTCTCGGATGGGGATGGGGCTTCCCAGGCTGTGCTCCTCTTACCTTGTTACCTGCTTTTCTTGGCTGTCCGTGCAGCCCTCCCACATGCTGTTCACAGCTGCAGGCCGCAGCAGGCACGGGTCTCTGCCCTGAGAACCTGGCATCTTTGGGGACAGGTCACCCCCATGTTCTCCAGCCCTCAGAGCTGGGTCACCTGCCCTCGCCCTGAGTGACCTGTGCCTGGCACGTGCCCCCTCAGTGGGCCTGTGGCTCGCTTCAGGGAAAAGTGCCTAAGGCGCATACTGGCCCTGACCCCCCTCCTTACAGAGTCAGAGGAGTTCACAGGCTATGAGATATTAGGGCCTGTCCGCCTTTGCGGTGTGAATGCCAAGCATACTCCACAGCCCCCACACCATGAGCTTTTTGCCTTCCCAGGCCAAGGCTGGGCAGCGATGGCAAGGGCGCCTGCATCCACATCAGCCACAAGGCGTGGATGGGGCACAGGGGCCGCTCATGCTCAGCGGGCGTGGGTTGGAGGACTCGGCCTGCTGTGGGCTCTGGCCAAGCTGCCGGGTGTGTGCTAAGTTCCATGGCTCTGTGCACTTCTGTGGCTTATCTTATTGGGTGTGCAGACATCGGGTGGACTTAGGCTGGGTTTCCTGGGCTGTGGCTGGAGCTCAAGCAGTGCCTGCAGAATAGCACCTACGTCCAGGTGGACACCTGCACACGAAAGTCCTTCCACCAAGCCAGCAGGCAGGTGGGATCCAGAGGAGTGTGTGGGGGCGGGGCGTCCTGTCCTCCGAGAGGCTCTGTCTCTTGGCTTGGGTCACTGTGGGGCAAAGTCCTGGCCCCAGCCCCGCCACTCCCGTGCCCTGCAGAGCCACAACCCCCTTGACGAGGTCGCTGGTCATGGGTGGACCCAGGGACTTGGCATCGGGGTGCATCGTAGCCCTTAGTTTTTTACTTTGAAACAGGGCCTCCCTGAGTTACCCAGGCAGGACTCCAGCTTGCCATCCTCCTGCCTCAGCCTCCCTCACAGCTGAGACTGTGGGCCTGGGCCACGTGCCGGCTTACATTCCTTAGTTTTTCCAGTTCTGCTGCAGAATGCAGAACAGAGACCAGTGGACAAAAGGGTGAGGAAGACGGATTTCTAGGATTTTAGATGAACGTTGACCCAGCCCCACGTGGTGCAAAGTGCAGGGCGTCAGGGATAGAAAGACTCTGGTTTCAGCCATCTGGCTGAGGAAGCTGGTCTTCAGCAATGGGGAGGGGACAGCAAGGGACAGAAGCAGGACAAAGCAGCTCATCTTCTAGCCTTGGGGGAAGACCTAGCTCACAAGAACAAGGTGGCATAAACTGAACAGGACGCAGGTGTCCGCCTGCTCTGCACAGAACAAGAAGTCACAGCTAGAGGGTGGGGAGAGCCCGAGGGGGCTCCCTCTAGGTCCGTGTCCATCCCCTCTGCCCTCCCAGGGTCACCTTGAGCCATCGCTGTGTGTCCCTAGGCCACTCCACTCAGCATGACAATGTAGCTCCTTCCTGGGGGGGCGGGGGTGCAGGGCCCACGCTCTGGGAATTTGCTTTTAAGAAATGAGTGGTGTGGTTTGGGGAAGAGACTACTTGGCTAGTTTGAGGCAGAAAGTGAATCCTTCTGTCTCACTTTTAAATATGAAGGCCTCACCCCACCCAGTCCCCCCCAGCCCCAGCCCCAGCCCTCAGGCTGAGTCATGTTTCCTGTCTTCCTCCAACTTACAAAGCTGGCTGTCAGCTGCTGTCCTGGCGGAAGTTTGGAGCTGCCTCTGCCCCTCCTGACCGGGCAGGGTGGGTACCCCTCCCCCCAGCCTGGCCATTACACCACAGAGCCTGGAAGGTACCTCTCTCCATTCCCCCCCACCCTTTCCAAAGCCCTAGGGTGTGACAGCACCAGCAGGAACTGAGTGTGGGGCTGGGAGCCAGGCCACGCCTGTGTTTACCCTCATCACTGGTGCTTTCCTGGGAGGGCAGGCTGTGGGGCTCTGGTGTGTCTGCCCCTTCCCCCGCACCCAGCATCGAGGTCCACTCTGGGACAGTGGCTCCGTTCCCCGCAGTCCTGTGGTGCTGGACTTTTAGAAATGAAGGACCCTGCATTTAACAGCATCTGCAGGGACTAGGCCAGCTGCACTGTGGGGACCACAGGGACAGCACACTTGGGGGTCATGCCTGCCAGAGGCTGAAACACCTAGCCCGGGAGGGTACCGGGTCCAAGCAGCCTTCCACAGGTGACCAGTAGCAAGGACACCCAGGGGACGGCATGAGAGAATGGGCCAAGGTGACAGATAGGATCGAGAGCTTCCTCGGCTCTGGCCCTGGTGACTTGGGCCCCTCGTGGACACTGGATGTCCTCGAGTCCTTGGCTGCACCCTAGATGCCAGCAGCTCTGCAGTGTGATGATCAACAACATCCCCAGGGGAGAAGACACAGGCAGAGGGGGTGGAGCGGGAGACATGGGGACAGGAGGCCCGGGCCTGGGCCGGGCATGGCAGCTGTGTTGAGAGCCTGGCTCGCAGAGCAGCCCCAGGACGTGCTGTGGGGTGGGGAGGGCCTGGCCCCACACTGCAGACAGGAGACCCGTGGTGGCAAGGCAGGGGCTGCTGGGTGGTAGCCATGGGTAGAGTTGGAAGCGCTGGATCCAGCAGCTGCAACCTGCCCTCCATCAGAAAAGCATAGGGTGGCCAGGTCTGCAGGCCCTGGAACTGGACACTGGCACCCCACAGGTGCCACTGTCCTGGGGTCTCTGGCAGGTATGTCCTGCTGACCTCTGTATGCTGAGGGTCCAGACTCCCAACCTCAGAGCCAGGAGGCCCGGGGCTGCCACACCTGTGTCCACAGAGCAGTGGCCCGGGCAGGACTCCTGGGCCATGCGATCATCTCCCCATCCTGAGGTGACCAGCCTGGGCTGGTAGCTCTCGGGCTCCTGTGCGCTCCCGAGAGGAAGCACACCGTACCTGCCAGTGTGTGTATGACTGTGCCCTGGCTGTGACCGTGGCACCAGGTGCCCTCATGGCCCTGCTGGACCATGGCAC